TGGCTGGGACGTCTGGCCCCAGACCTGTGATTGTACATCTTACACTGTCTGGCCTCTTATCACAAGCCGGAGGAAGAGGGGTGCAGGGAGGTCTCATTCCCATCCCCAGCCGGGGCCACACCTCCACTTCTGGACATTGGTGCCTGCCCTGGACTGTAACCAGCCGACCAGACGTGCTAGTAGACTGTAGCAGGTTCTGGGGAGGAGAATGAAGGCCGAGCAGGCTGTTAAGTGGTACAGGCCTGATGGAGTCCCATGTGTGGAAATGAAAGCAACCTGAGGATGGCCAGGACGGTCCAGGACATTGACCACCTCCCTGTTTGCAGCCCTGAGTGGTGCTGTGTCCTCAGATGCTCTGTGATCACCCACTGCCACCCGTAAGGGGCAGGTGGGGTCCCTAAGCAGCCCCTTACAGGCCTTTCTGGCAGACAGGCTGTGAACTAGGGGTCTAGAGGTAGCCAGACCACACAGAGCATGACTGTGTTCCTAAAAAATGAGAACATGGGGACCAGCAAATGGTGTAATGGTCACTAGACTCCCACACAGTTGACCACAGTTCAAGTCCTGGATGGGGTGGCTTAAAACTCATCCCAGGAATGCATGCATGTGTGCCCAAAATCCCGAAAGGAGAATGGAGGAGAAGGTATTATGGTGTGGCCATTTTCCCTAGGGGGTGATTTCTCGCTTTCTGTCTCTCTCTGTTTCGCTGGCGAGCACACATGCCCTATGGCAAAACTCTCTCTTAAAATAAATAAAATAAAAACGAGAGCTTGGGGGCCAGCAGGTGGCATAGTGGTTTCATCACTGGGCTCTCATATGGTCAGCACAGTTCAAGTCCTGGACCTGGGGGCCTGAAACTCACTGTAGGCACGTGTGCGTGCGCGTGCCCAAGATCTCGGCAGGAGAATGGAGGAGAAGGGATTGCAGTGTGGCCATTCCCCCAGGAGAGTGATTTCTCGCTTTCCCTCTCATCTCTTTGTCTCTCTCTCTGGTGAGTGCACACATCCTAAAGCAAAAATCTCTCAGAGACAGAAAACTTGGAGAAATGCATTAAGCAGGAACCAGACAGCCAGGAAAATTGGCCATGTTCTCACCTGCGAACAAATGTTCATTCCAGGGAAGTGGCTTCTGAGAGACTCAAGGCAGCTGCCTTCCACCTGCCCTGGTCTTCACTGGCCGGCCTAACTCCTGCTTGCCCCCTGCTTGGAATGTGTTCTCTGCACCCCAATCCACTGGTGTAAATCTGCTGCGGCCCAGATTCTGCATCTGGCAGCAGCATCCAGTGAGAATTGAATGATGTTGTCTTTATGGAAAACAATCTGCTATTTTTCTTTCTTACAAGTAAAAAAAAAAAAAATTAAGGACAAACAGTGGTATATGTGGAACAGAAGTTCGGCAGAACAAGGGTATTACTCAAACTCATCAGATACTTCGCTTGTGCTCTCTGTGTATGGGCAGTGTAGGGGGCACCCTTGTGTAGCTGACCTCCTCAAGGAGGAGGTGGACAGCGTACAAATAGTGTATTAGGTCATCCCGTAATAGATGCTGTGAAGGTAAATACTCCAGGTGTAGGGGGACAGAACCCAATGGGGAGGGATTCCATTCAAGGTAGGGTGACAGGGGCTGGCTCCCAGGCACAGCGGTAATGCACTGCTCAGAGAAGCTGAATTCCACATGGTAACCATGGTTCAAAGCCCCAGCCAGTCACCCTGAAACATGCTGGGCATGCACACGAGTGCCCAAGATCTGATGAGCCGAAAGACTGGAGGAAGGGGATTGTGGCATGACCAGATCGTGGTTCTCTCTCTCTGCGTCTCTCTCTCTCTCTCTCTCTCTTCCTCTCTCTCTCTTTCGTTCTTACATGTGTGTGCACACACTCTATCATGAATAAAGAAAAGAAATTTATTAAAGAGTGACATTTGAGCAAAGACACCAACGAATGAGGCAGCAAGCCCTGCACGTGTGAGTAAAGAGCATTTTTGGGACCAGCAGTTAGCGTAATGGCTATGTCGTTGGACTCCCATGTAGTCGACTGTGGTTGGCATCCTGGACCCGGTGACTTAAAACTCACGCAAGGTGCGTGTGCGTGCGTGCTCAAGATCCCGAGAGGAGAATGGAAGAGAAGGGATTGCAGTGTGGCCATCCTCCGGGGGGTGATTTCTCACTTTCTGTCTCTCTGTCTCTCTCTGTCTGACGAGCGCACGTGCCCTATAGCAAAAACCTCTCTAAAAAAAGAAGTAAAGAGCATTTTTGAGAGAAGGGCTGTGGTGCCAAGGCCCTGAGGCAGTAGCATGCTTGGAGAGTTTGAGGAAATGTAGTTTGGCAAAGTCCCGTTTGGGAAATACTGGATAATGTCTGCTCCAACCCTGAGACCGCAGAATGGGGAACAGGGGCATTTCATCATCGAAGGCGTGGCTGTCCAGAGCTTGACTACTGGAGGGGTCCCTGGTTTGGATCATCTCATGGAACTGTGGGTTCAAGATGTCCCCGAAGACAGAAATGGGAGACAGTCCAGACCCCCAGCATTTGCCACCTGGGTAAAAGTAATTAATTCATCAATTGTTTCCTGAGTGTCCCACAGGAGACCGGATGTAGGCAACAAGGAGGAATCAGGAATCAGATACACTTCCCGTCTGCCAGAGTCCCCTCCCCAATGTGTACCGGAGCAGGGGACCCACACCATGGCTGGTATTCAGGCATACATGTGTGCACATGTGTGCGTGTCACACAGAGGGCCTGGGAAACAGCAGGAGGTTCTGCTGGGACTGCAGAGCCTCAGAGCAGCCTGCTCCTACAACCGGGGGACAGGTGGAGCTGTGGGAGGGCACGCAGTGCAGAGGGAGGTGGGCAGCTGCGTGATCACGGAGCATAGGGTGAGACGAAAATGCAGGACTCTGCAGAAAGCAGGAAAAGTTCCCTTCAAGAAATACAGGAAGTTTTTTCCTTTCTTCTGCAGCCTTTCTTCTCAGCGTGATACGGAGCTTTTTATTTGCTATTGAATGTCATTCTCATAAGGAAAAGAAACACTTGGTGTGGATTTTACCATTCATCTTCAGGTTGTACAATGTCCAATTAGCCCAATGATCAGAGTACATCATTCCTATGTGGAATCATGAAATTACACAGCTTGTATTTTGTGGCTGGTTTCAGAGGTGCCTTGAGTGAACTGCAACGACAAGTTCCAGGCAGACTCAGGAGGGTTGGAAGGAGGAGGAGGGAAGGGCACATGCACAGTCCCAGTGCCTGTCCACCATGCAGGGCACGCTCACACACCCTTGGGCTCATAGCTGTGAGGCTTCTGCTCTTACCAGATGCTGGGTTGCAGCACTTCTTCCTGGCCAGGTGATCTGGGGTGGTTGAGCTGGTGTTCTCCTTAAGAAAGGATGGCTCATGGCATTAACTCATGGCAAATGGGCAGCTCCAAGGATCTCTAAACCTGTGCCTTAGAACCCACTGAGTACTTGGCTTAGGTGGGTGAGAAACTCACTCCTGCCAAGACTCAGCCTCCAATAGGTGGCCCACCAGATACACTCTGGTGCTGCCCCCCCACGGACCCGGGGGGGGGGGGGGGGGGGGGGCCGCCCAAC